CCCCACCTCTGGCATCATCGCTCTTTTTTGGTCCTCGTTTCTTTCTCCCTCGCCTGTCTCAGACACTCACTTGTTCACTTGACTCAAGGAGCCCAAACATCTTGCCCACGTGAACGCACCGATCACACATCACTGTCATTGCAGGCCTCTGGGTCTGCATTTTGCCACCTGGAGTGTGAGCGCTAGTGTGCCCTATCTCCGCCGCTATCTCCGCCCACCACCCCATTTTATGGTTGGTGGAATGAGGCTCTGTTGGACAGGAGTCGAGTCACTCCCTCCCAGGGCAGGCAGCTAGCACAGGGACCAGAACCCTCAGCGCTAAACAGCTGGAGTCAGAGGAAAGCTATGCCCTGAAATGAGGTGTCCCAGGTGACATACTAAACAGAGAAGAAGCACTGACATGCATTTCTTCACTCCCTCGCAAGGCCCCTCTCCCCACCTGTTTCTCTCTGTCCCTGGGTTGCCCTCGGTGATTTCACACCACTGTCTCTTCCTTTGTCCTCGTGGGGGCTGACACCAGGAGAGGAGCTGGCCCCTCCCTCCTTGAGGCTCTCCTCCTTCTCTCCACTCGCTGCTTCCTAGAACCCTTCTCCACCCTTCAACCCCAGCTCTGGCCTGGTGCTACCTTGGGATGCTGCTGGAGAGGAAGGACGCCTTCTCTACCACCCCCATGGGCATCCACGACTGCGGGTACTCGGGGACCGATCCTCTGGACTGCTTCGGCAAGGTACATGCCCCCACCCACACCCACACTCCAATCTGCAAAGGAGACTGACATCCCAGCCTCTGCCCCTGGAACCTGCCACTCCTCTGGGTATCATCCCCCACTGTGTGGCCCACCAGGAAAACCTTTCTCTCCATCCTCTCTTCTTTCAAAACAAACGTGCTTCCTTGCGGTTCCTCTTTGCTTAAGAAGACCCTCCCCACACCCAGTCTGGCTCAATCCCATTTCTCCAGCCTTGAGGAGACCCTGAGATTTTTCCCCTTGCGGCCTTTGCTCACACTGTTCCCCACCCCCACTGGCACAGTGGAAAGAAGATGAGTTTAGCTAGGTCTGCCCACAGGCCATGTGACTCTAAGGCATGTCACTTAGAACAGGCAGCAGTCAGTAACAACACAGGGGTAAGTGCTGTGGCCCACACAGAAACCATGTACTCCATAAAATTGGGGAGGTAGAAGCTGACTCTGGCCCTTCCTCTTACCTGCCCTGGGGTAGAGGGGGAGCACACACTGGGGCAGGAGGGGTCTGCCACACGTGATCGGTGACCATGGCAGACAGCGTGGCAGTGAGTCAGGCTCTCAGGAATTGAGTGCCGGTGGGTTGTGCCCCAAAGTATTGGGCTCCATGATATGACTGAACTTGCTGGCTGGTAGATATGAGGTAGGTACAGGGAATAAGAGCACTGGGGTGACATGGCACCATCCAGCGACAGGGTTCCTGTGGTTCAGGCACCATTTAGCTGGCTCTGGCTAATAACCAGACAAATGGTTTGCTGTTACCCTCTTCCCTGACCTAGGCCATTGAGATTGCCAAGGACCAACCTGCCATCCTGAATCGACTGGCCAAAATCTTCTACTTCTTAGGAAAGCAGGACATGGCCATTGGAACCTGTAACATGGCCCTGGATGTCCTACGAGATCCGGAGCTCAACTGGCAGGCTTACTGCACTAGGGCCAAGGTGGGTAAATCTGCAGCCCCACCTCATCCTGCCACAAGCATCAGAGAACAAGAGCCAGGGCCTAAGATGGTGGGTGCAGGTAGGGGCCTGAGCCCAAAGGTCATGGAGCCTTCATGATGGAAGGGAGCTTAGGAGTCATCAGAGCACACAGTTGTGTTCTGTAAGGTTGTGGAGTAAAGGAATGAGGGAGCCACCCCACNTGCTGTGGCCCACACAGAAACCATGTACTCCATAAAATTGGGGAGGTAGAAGCTGACTCTGGCCCTTCCTCTTACCTGCCCTGGGGTAGAGGGGGAGCACACACTGGGGCAGGAGGGGTCTGCCACACGTGATCGGTGACCATGGCAGACAGCGTGGCAGTGAGTCAGGCTCTCAGGAATTGAGTGCCGGTGGGTTGTGCCCCAAAGTATTGGGCTCCATGATATGACTGAACTTGCTGGCTGGTAGATATGAGGTAGGTACAGGGAATAAGAGCACTGGGGTGACATGGCACCATCCAGCGACAGGGTTCCTGTGGTTCAGGCACCATTTAGCTGGCTCTGGCTAATAACCAGACAAATGGTTTGCTGTTACCCTCTTCCCTGACCTAGGCCATTGAGATTGCCAAGGACCAACCTGCCATCCTGAATCGACTGGCCAAAATCTTCTACTTCTTAGGAAAGCAGGACATGGCCATTGGAACCTGTAACATGGCCCTGGATGTCCTACGAGATCCGGAGCTCAACTGGCAGGCTTACTGCACTAGGGCCAAGGTGGGTAAATCTGCAGCCCCACCTCATCCTGCCACAAGCATCAGAGAACAAGAGCCAGGGCCTAAGATGGTGGGTGCAGGTAGGGGCCTGAGCCCAAAGGTCATGGAGCCTTCATGATGGAAGGGAGCTTAGGAGTCATCAGAGCACACAGTTGTGTTCTGTAAGGTTGTGGAGTAAAGGAATGAGGGAGCCACCCCACGTGGCAGGAATCCCTTCTACATGCCTGGTCAGTGAGCTTCCAGCCTCTTCTTGATTAGCACTGGGAGAGTCAGACTGCCCAGAGTTGAAATCCAGCCTCTCCACCTATTACTATGGGACTTGTGGCAAGACACTTACTCCAAACCTCAGTTCCCAAATCTGTATGATATGGATATTAACACCTATCTTAGGTTGTCAGAAGACTAAATGAGGTAACATCTAAACTACAGTGCCTGGGGCACAGGAGGTGCTTTTGAAAGGCAGTAGTGTATATTAGAGGTAGTTTAATGTTGTGGATAATAGCCTGGCTCTGAACACAGACAGCCTCGGTTCGAATTCCACATCACCACCCAGAGGCTACAGGATCTTCAGCAAAATACTCTTCCCAAATTCTGAGCCTCAGTTTCTTCATCTGTAGACTAGAGATGATAGTGCCTCACAGAGTTGTTATGAGAACTAAATTAGTTTCAGTATATAAAACTCAGCATCAAACACACAGTAAGAGCCATAAGTGAGAGACCTATTATTAGATATGTTTTTGACTAATTCCCTGTCTCTTGAGCAAATCCACTGCATATTCAGCTCTGCAAGTTACACATTCAGGTGAGAGCCGCCTCCAGCCACTGGTCCCAGATCTGCCCTTTGGAGTTCCCACAGATCCCCTCTCCTTCGGGACAGAGACCTAGAGCTCTGCGTTACTTTGCTCCAAGCTAAACAGACCCCCTCCTCCCATCTTCTCCACTACCTTTCATACAACCTAGTAGCAAAGCTGCTCCCGGTCTTGGTCTCAGTGGCTTATTTTGCCAGCAGGTACTAGGCAGGAAATTCCTTCCCTGTAGTTGATGTGGTTATTATTATCAATAATAATGATATTAATCATAATAGTAAATAATAAAGCATTTCTATAAAACTCTGCATTTCAGCAAGCACTTTCATGTTCATGGTCTGCTTTAAACCTCACAGGAGTCCTGTGAGAGAGGCCTGACATGTGCATTCCACAAATGAGGCCACAGGGGCACACAGAGGCAGTGAGCTTCCTCAGGAAGCTCATTCATGCACGGGAACTCCAGCCTTACCCTACTCACTCCATCGCCATCTCTTGTCTTCTGCTCATTGCCTCCCTGTAGCCCCAAAGGTCACACTTAGTACTCAGCTGAGCAGATGAGCAGCAGGATGGCAGGAAGGATGGTGAGGAAGGAACAGAGGGAAGGGAATTCACGTTATCCCTGTAAAAGTCTCAGCCTGTGACCTGAAAGCTCGAACCTGGCCCCGTTACCTCTCTACTCCACCTCCCTGTGCTCACGCCTCTCTCACTCTCTTCTAGCCCCACTGGCTGGGGCCTCTTTCTAGAATGTTCTTCTCCCAGATATCTGATTGGCTTCCTCCCTCACTTCCTGCATGTCTTGATAAAAAGCCAGCTTCTAATGGCCATCTAATTGAAAATGTTAACCTCTTTGCCAACATTTTGTCTTCCTTTCCTGGTTACTTTTTCTTCTTAGTCCTAATCACTCCCTAACACACTACTTACTTATTTAGCATGTTTATTGTCTCTCTCCCCCACTAACATGGAAGCTCCATGAGGGCAGAGATTTTGTTCCTTTTGTTCTCTGGTGTATCTTCGATGCCTGGAACAGTGCCTGGCATGTAGTAGGCTCATGATGAATATTTGTTCAATGAATGAATGAACTGAGCGCCTACCATATGCTAGATCCTGTCTAAAATATGTTCTCTCAATCATCTGGTAATTCCCCAAAGAAGATATTAGTGTACTAATTTTTCAGATGTAGAAAAGGAGGTTCACAGAGGTTGTGCAACTTCCTCCAGGTCACATGGATAATAGTGGGGGGCGGGGGTTAACTGGAATTTAAACCCTAGTCCAACTGGCTCCCAAGACAGAGATCTGCCTCCCCACCCCCATAATGCTGTATTATAACTTAGAGCCAACCTGATGGCTACAGCACTAATTCCTACAATAAACATGACCCCTTTCCTTACTTCCTCCTGCCCACCCCTACCTGCACCCACCAAACCTCTAGAATTTCTAAATGCTCCAAGTTTAAGGAAGTGGGGATGAAAGCAAGGGCCTGGAATCATTTGTAACCTGATGCTTGTCAGCTGGGGCAACCTGCCTTTCTTCCCAAACTGCTTGTGTACATAGACTCGCATATATCAGTGCTGCCATCATATCTCAAATAACCCCTCCCAGTCACCTCTATCCTGTCTCCCTCTTTATTTTGTCACAGCACTTATCACTTGAAATGGTACTATTTGGGCCAGCCCATGGCTCACTCAGGAGAGTGCGGTGCTGATAACACCAAGGCCACAGGTTCAGATCCTATATAGGGATGGCCAGTTAGCTCATTGGCTGAGCGTGGTGCTAACAACACCAAGCCAAGGGTTAAGATCCCCTCACCGGTCATCTTTAAAGAAAAAAAAAAAAAGAAATGGTACTGTTTACTTGTTATTTATGATTGTCTTTTCCACTAGAATGTTAAGTTCGACCAGAGTAAGGACCTCATCTGTCTGGTCACCACAGCAGCTCCAGTGCTGCAGTATAGGACCTGGCATTCCACGGGAACTCAATACATATTTGTTGAATGAATGAGTGAATGAATGGGGGATTCTGACTTCATCCAACCCCCTCATTGTACAGACAAGGAAACTAAGGCCCAGAAAGGGAGAGTGGCTAGCCCAAGGTGGCACAGGACTAGAGCCCGGGACTCCTGGGTCCCAGCCTCAGGGGCTTTCTGCTGCACCACAGAACCTCCCTGATTGCTGCTGAGGAAAAGACTGGCTTCATTTAGGGTAGAAAGGAGAGCGGATGTCCCTGCTTGGAGCATCTTTCCTGAGCTGACTCTCTCTTGGCAGATCCACATCAGAGCCTACCTGCACGACCTGGAGCGGGCCAAGATGGGGCTTGGGGGCATGCCTGACAGGAACCACCTGGCCTATGCCAAGGCTGACCTCGAGGAGGTGGTCAAGGTGTGCCCAGGCCTCAAGACCTACCTGGATATTGGGCAGGTAAGGCAGCCTC